AAAATTTAGGGTTATATAATATATAAAATTATAAAATTTCATAAAAATCGGTCAAGCCGTTTAGATGAGTATCGTTACAAACTTACACTTACAAACACCAGAATTATATACAGGGTAGGTACCTATACCATTTAAAACAAAGTAGGCTAAATATCTGATGCCACGATTATTTTTTTAAAAAATCGCTCGTACACGTAATTTAATTTTTAAAGGGGGAAGTTTCCTGCAACCATTTTTAGGTCTTTAACTTTAACCCTCTGGGCGGTGTGGGACCAATCCTTACTATTTCAAATGGAAAAAGGGGTCCAGTGACACCTCTTTTAAAAGAACCTTCAATTCTCTGTCATTCGATGACATTTGAAAGAAAATTCAACGCTTTTTTAAAACAGGTATCACTCGACCCCCCTGTTCCATTTGGAATGGTAAGGATTGGTCCCACCTCCCGTAAAGGTTTAAGCTAGTGCTGAAAATGTTTCAAACATTCACACAATCAAATTACGTGTAGGTACGAGCGATTTTAAAAAAAATAAAAGTGACATCAGATATTTAGCCTCTTTCGTTTTAAATGGTATACCCTGTATATGTAATAGGTTATGCTGCACCCATGAGGACTTTCGAAAGTCGGCGCCTCTGAGCGTACGCGTGGCATCCGAAAGCAGCTCAAGTAATGGAGCAGAACTCGCCGATCATGGAGCAAAACGGAGCGAAACTCAGAGAACAGAATGAATATGATCAAACAAAATTTTCACGGGTGTGGGGGGGCTAGGAGAGATTCTTAGGAGCTCGTAGGTCATTCCAGATAATGGAGCAAAATTCGCCAATCATGGAGCAAATGGTGCAAAATGAAGCAAGACTCGGAGAACACAATGAGTAATTTCAAGTTTCAAAATTTTCACTGGGGGGTAAGAAGAGATTCTTTGGAGCTCTGTAGGTCATTCTTGGTAATGGAGCAAAACTTGCTGATAATGGAGCAAAACGAAGCAAAACTCGCCGATAATGGATCCAATTGGAGCAAAACTCGGAGAACAAAATGAGCATGTTCTAATTTCAAAATTTTCACTGGGGGAAGGGGGGGCTGGGAGAAATTCTTGGGAGCTCTGTAGGTCTCTTCTGGTAATGGAACAAAACTCGCCGATAATGGAGCAAAATGGAGCAAAACTTGGAGAACAAAATGAGCATGATCAAATTTCTGAATTTTCACTGTAGGGGCTAGCGTTAATTCAGCCCTTCCCCCCCTCTCCACCTAATAGGCCACATAGTCTCTCCACTGTAATGGAGCAAAAATCGAAATTAGTGGATCAAAATTATGGGATAATTTTCATCCAGAAATTTTCTATGTGGGAGGGCTAACTTAACTGACGCTGAGGTACTCCTGAGGTTGCCGTATATTTCGTAGACTTAAATCCATTGTAAAAAATAAATTGCTGCCGATTATTCAGATATGATACAAAAAGTGCTAGGAGACCGTCAGAAAATCTGAATCTATGGAACTTAGTAAATTAATAACCCATGATCCAGTTTGTCAAAAGCCTTGGAGAAATCTGTAAATATCACATCAACCTGACCCCCCCTTATCCAGAATTTCTGATATTTCCTTTGACATATGCATTAGATTTGATATGGTTGATCTTTGGTTCATAAAGCCAAGTTGAAAAGGTGAAATTTGGCGACAGACAAAAATGTATATACACGTTCATACAAAATGGTTTCAAGCATTTTGGAAAAATTGCACAGGATGGATATTGAGCGATAATTTACTACCTGTGAGCGCTCATCAGACTTAAATACTGGGATGACTTTTGCCTCCTTCCACAAATTTGGGTATGTATGGGAATGCAGCATTAAGTTAAAGAGGGTTCTTAAAGGGGTTACCAGGACACCTATGCAGTCCTTAACTAGAAAAGCAGGTATAATATCTGAACCAGACGTCATTTTACTTTTGAGCTTTTTAGATGCTTTCATTATCTCGTCATTCGTTACGTCGTTGATATGAACTGTACTACATAAACTAGGCTGGGAAAGATTATCACTAGGCACTGAGGATGGCAAAAATACATGCAATAATTCTTACTGTACATTTCTTGGACATTAAACTACCTGTATCTCAAAAACTATAGTCTATTTTTTTGAAAGCTGGTATAATCAATCATACTCACCCAGTTTTAATCCCCTAAATCCTTTGAAGAGTGAATGAAACACCTGCAATAAACGAAGAGGTGACAGTTTGATTATACCAGCTTTCAAAAAAATAGACTATAGTCATAGGATTGGTTCGGGCCCATGAGAACTTTTTATCAGGAAGTCAAGGTCTAACACATATCAAAATTTCAGTCAGTTTGACAGAAAACCAAATACCCATGAGGTGTACGGGGTCCATTTAGCTTGAATTCAACTACAATTTGTTACATCCAAATCGTGAAATAATTTATATAGACCCCCGACAAATATTTAAAGCGGCGCCTGTTTACAACGTAGTCGTGTCATAAATTTAAAATTTTCAAAAATTATATCTTCCTGTCAGAATTGGGTAGCCTTCCAAAGAAAAATTCGACAATACGCCTTTGGGTGGTTTCCAAAGCCAGCTAACAGAAGGAATTGTTAAAATTTTATGGACAATTTCTGAATGAATGAGTCATTGACAAATTTGGAGTTTTTGGTAAAATTATGACCATGGGAATTTTGGCACCGACAGACAGGTCATGATCATAAAATTAAAATGTTCTTTACAAACGTGCCGGTATTTTCGTTTAGTGGTCATCGTAAATTTCAATTTTGACATCTAGGGTATAATTTGCTTGAAATTTCTTGGATTTTTAAACGTTCAAAGTGAAACATCTATAAAATTATCAAATATTATTGAGAGTTTTTTATGTCAAATTTTTAAACCTACCAAATAAACAGATTTACATTTTCAAAAATCTATACACAAATTCTAGAAATCTTTTCGGTTTTCAACCCAAATCAAGGAAGCGGGCTTAATGTACTCACCCCACATTTAAATACTAAATAAAAATTACCATGAGAATACTAAGGTTGACGAATTGTTTACTAGAATCATTCCCAGTGGCAATTAGGGCCTCAAACACAAAAGAACATGAGACCTTTTCATACCTGGAGTTGGAGATTGACATTATAATATTGGGTTGTAAATTTGCATTATAATATGGGTTTGACATTCAGTATTATCTACCTACTATTATAGATCTTAGTCTGATTTGGTTTGGATGTGGGAAATGATATGATCAAGCTATTTAACTTTATATTATGTCAATTTTATTGGTTCAGGTGTTGGATAAGTTAAACTTATTCAAACGTCCATTTTCAAAATCTCTTGCCTTCATTTACAAATCTTCCTTATACCTACAGCATTGATATATTTGTTCCAAAATGAGACATTTTATAATTAACTAGCAACTCGTAAAATCCCTGGAAGAAGCAACAGCAGCAAATCGCATTTAAGGATTAAGAGTCCCTCTTCAGCAAGCTGCTGCTGGAAGTAGCGTCTTTGAAGTTAATCGGGTGTCGGCACCTTCAAAGGGTGCGACAAGGATGTCGTCACGCGGTGGGTGGCGTTCTCGACAGCCCGAAACGCGGTTGAATTCACGCTCCGTCAGAAGCTTTGGTTTGTGCTTTGTACGTGCGGTGTTGTCTAATTGAGAAGAAAATCTTCGAAATATCTTGTTTTGTGAAAACTACTTATTTTTGGGACAACATGGACACCTTTTATGGCCCAATTTCTACAGGAAGTTGCATTCAAATCAGCTGAACTACAATATTTTAGTAGGTATTCTTGTTATTTGAGAGAAAAATAATGATATAGAGATATGGATATTGAAGATCTTCCAGGAAAATTTGAGAATATGTCCTGGCCTAAGTTAACTATGAAACTGAGCTTATTAGTGTTTTTCGTATTTGATAGCGAGAAAATTTTAAAATGCTATGGGTCAGTTGGAAGTTTTGCATCATGTACTTTTCCACTTCTCACATTACCTGCATTTTTTTTATACAAAAGCAGTTGTGGTTCCTTCTGAGTTCTGATTATATTGACAGCTGTTTTTCTAATAAAGGTTCCTACATATAGGTACATTATTCCTAAAGTTTGTTTTTCAATCTGACTCTACCCTTTTTCTGGTTAATTCAATGACTTGGAACAATAAGGTAAAAGTTCTCCTATCCTTAGCATAGAAATATTTGCAGCTATAACTCGTCTTGAATGAATTCTTGAGAAGTTGTTCCTTCGATTTGGTGTCTTAAATTGAATTTAGCATGTTCGTATATAATATTAATGGTGAGCTTGAACAGACACCCAACATAAGACATGGAAATCCCTTATGTCGTATATACACGAAATAACATAACATAAGACATAAGAAAGTTTGTTGACTTTTAACTTTTATGTCTTAGGTATTTTATGTAAAAATGAATCTGCACATTTTCCATTGAGAATTTGACTTTCGCATGACTCTTTTGTATGTGATAACATTAATAGAGTGATAGAAAATATGTGATCATTCTCTTGCAGCTGATTGGTTGAAAATTATTTCTTATGTTATGTTATTATATGTGTCTATATAAACGCTAATACTAATAATGTTGTCTTATTTCTTGAATTATGTTATGTATGTATCTGCCTAAACCCACCATAAGAGTATTCTTAAAATATTTATTAAAATCGTCAATAAAGATTTCTATATGTTTGATAATCCTCTTTTCTTGTCTGCAAATTACCAAACATCCAACATCTTTTCCCATAAAAAGTGAAACATTGGTAATTTCTCGAGTTAAGTTCTTCCAATCTAAAGGTGGATTTTCATTAGTTTTTTGTTTATTTTCATATAGGCGAATACGATCAGTCTCATCTTTGATCGCACAAATCCATTTCTAGATTTACTGTATTCCACTGGCAACACTGCGCGTCACACTCCACTGGAAAACGAAAAGTGCAGGCGCCAACTGCGCAAGCTCTATCACAAACGCCACTCTCTTTCTCAGCACTTTACCCGCTCCGCTCTTACTGCTTCAGTTTGAGAAAAGTTTTCGTTGAAGTTAGACGTTCGATAGCTCTAAGTGTGTTGAATTTTCTCGTGCGTTGCGTTCATACACTCCAAAGTTGTGAATATCTTAGTGCATAAACATTTTTTGGATTTGATTCTTTTTGCTACATTAGCAAGATATTGGGATTTTTGTTTGAACTTCAAGTGATTTTTGATTAAGATGGTTGTGCTAGAAGGGGGTGGATTGTTATCAACTGCTGGCAATCAGTACCTACAACCGGATTACTTGAGCCCTCTACCTACAACGGTAAGAATACGAACTGAGTTTTTTCGTTTATAATCATTAGTTTGATAATTAGTAATTTTATTTCAAATAATTCTCTATCTGGTTAAAGAATGCTTGCAAACTTCCTTGACTTTCAATTCCGATTTTCTTTTTATCATTACTAACGTTTTATCTGTAATTTGAATAAATTGATTATAACTAACCCATTCTATTCCAAATCTAATGTCCCTTTTTTTTTGGTTACAGCTTGACGCAAAGAAAAGTCCGTTAGCGCTCCTCGCGCAAACATGTTCCCAAATCGGTGCCGATTCACCCAACAACAAACCGCTGCTATCTTCCTTGGAAAAGAAGAAATCCGAATCGCGCACCTCTCCAGTAACTCACAAAAGTGACAAACGTTCTACCCCTATCAGCGACAACAAGCTGGCGTTCAAGCCGTACGAGAATACAGTGTTGACCAAACGGGCCGTCGAAGATTCGCGTCCAAGTAGCCAGAAAAGTGTCGATATGGGGAAAAAATCGCCTTCGTCCGGTAGTGATCGCAAATCCGCCTCGCCTAGTGTTCATAATAATAACAATAATAATAGTGCGTCGAATACTCCGACTCTTGACGCGGGCAAGGCGTCACCAGGAAGTCACAAAACATCGACTCCCTCTGCTAGCCCTATAATACGTTCTGGATTGGAAATGATGCAAGGCCATTCGAAAGACTCACCATTGGGTGCCTATAAACCTCTATCATCTATGCAAGGAAATCTACCTAATCCATTAAGTTCTTTGTGTTGTCCTCCTGGCTTGGAACACGCTACAAATCCAGCTTTTCGACCACCGTTTCCTGGTGCTCCTTACTCTCACCATCATAGTATGCTCGGTTATCCTGGAGCAAACCCTGGACCATACCTGAGCTATGCTAGAGTAAAGACGCCTTCAGGTGGTGAAGCTTTAGTGCCAGTTTGCAAGGATCCGTATTGCACTGGATGTCAATTTAGTTTACAAAATCAACAATTGCTAATGAGTGGAGCTGCTGCTGCCGCCGCAGCAGCCGCTGGTCCCTGTCCATCAGGCTGTACCCAATGTGACCATCAAAAATACAACTTGGCAATGGCGATGTCTTTAGGACCCCCAAGTTCATTAGCATATCCTTCATTGGGAAGACCTTATGTATGCAATTGGATAGCTGGCGATTCTTATTGCGGAAAACGATTTGTTACCTCAGAAGAACTTCTGCAACATCTCAGAACGCATACTAGTACTTCAGATCCTGCAACTAGTAGCGCTGCTAGTCTTCTTAATCATTCTGCTTTACTGACAGCATCTGCTCTACACCGAAGTGGATATCCCAGTGGACCTTTGAGTCCATTAAGTGCTGCTAGGTACCACCCATATGGTAAACCAGGTCTACCAGCTGGTCTCACAGCTTCACCTTACAGTGCTTTCAATCCAGCTTCACTAGGACCTTATTATTCACCCTATGCTCTTTACGGGCAAAGATTGGGAAGTGCTGCAGTGCACCAGTAAAAATTATTTAGCGAAAAACATATTTTTTGATCTACTTAATGAAAATACCTAGGTCATTTTCGCCTGTGATAATCTTTGTAAATATACTGTTGTTTTTGTGTATTATATAAATTTTCGATGAGAGAGTACTGAATAATAAAATTATTGTAAGAATTTTCTTTGAAAAATCAAACAATGTGCAATGTTATCCTAGGATTTGTGGATTCTAGAAAAAATACTTTGAATTTTACTTTATTTTTCGGTTTCAATTTTACTTAATGAAATATTTTTTTTATTTTATAGAATTTATATAAATTTTTAGTTTTCTGGAGTTCTTAAATACTGTAAAGGATTTATGTACTAATTAGATATTATTATTCTAATTATGAATGTTGATTTACTATACATTATCATTTGAAATAAAAAATCTGTTTCCTATAATAGCAGTTTGTTGTTTTCTTTTCATTTATCGAGGTAGCTGATTTGTAGGGATTGAGAAAGAAAATTACAAAAAATGGTTTAATGAAAATGAGCTACCTACCAAATATCTTGAGATTCAGGTTGATCAACAAGAAATAATAAAGAACTAGAAAAAAAGAATTGAATACCTACTTTCGAAATTTGAAAAGGGAAATACCTACTTAATAATTTTCTCCCATTTTCTTTTCCGTCAACTATCAAAATAATAAAGAACTTCACTGGGTTCTCTGTTTTTCAATAGGTAGGATTTTACCAAACATTTTTTGCCAATCTTGTAGTCTAGAAGGGAAACCTCATCTGAAACATGTCTTAAAATGTATTTCAATGGAAATACTACTTCAAGTGCCCCCTTTCCACTCAAAATAAAGACTGAAAACTTTGAACCAGAATTTGTGAACTTAAATTTTATGAAACAGACCACGGACCACGCCCTTATTTGCGAAAGTAATTTTTAGTATGATATAAGGAAAACATACATGTAAGTATGCTTGTTTTGTTTTGTTCCAATCTTACCCTTTCGAAGACTGAAGCTGATCGATTATTACTGGAGACATTTTGGCAGTGGAATATCCGGTGGTATAGACTTCATCCCTAAATCTTGTGAAAAAGTCTCATGAGCCTTTTCCATTATTTGCTTGTCATGATCGGCGAGGGTCAAATTCATTCCCTAGACCAAATTTATATCTGAGAATAATTACTGTAAGACTTTAAATATCTTATTCCGCTTGATCTTATTCATTCAAATGTTCTGCTCTTTTTTGCCTGATTTCATTTGCATAAGAAATTTGGGTCGTGTTTTTTTTTCCCAACAAAATGTGTGTAGTTTGGGTTAGTTTGGGTTAGTTTTCCCCAATCTCAATATATTATAACGAAGTTACATTTGCGCGGTAAAGCCCACTCCGTTGGTGCCCAACCCATGCTGGAATATTCTAGAATACAATTTATATGTGTATGTTCGTAGTTTGTATTGTGGCGCTAACTTGGAATCTAGAAAATACTGCTTTATTCGGGCAAAAAGATTATCGGGGATAATACCACGAGATTACCGATAATTTTTCACGATCACGCATGAGTGAAAAATTATCTGGTTCATTTTAAAGCTCAAGTGGTATTTAGAGGATTATTTCACGTATGAGAGTGCAAAAAATATGGAAATAAATATGTATTAAACGATTTGAACATCTTAACAATCAATACAAATAAATGGTTGCTATCAGGAACCGTTTGTTTGTATCAAAAATTAGCATGACAACAATGTATACAATAACATGGGAGAATTATCGCTGTAATTCTCTCTAGTTAAACAAATGGGAAAGAGAATTTTCGCTGTAATTCTGAAAATCGTCACTTGTCTTATGGGATTTCTAACACATGAGTGGAATAATCGCGTTTATTCTGGATTCTACGCGAATAGATTGCGGATCTATTGTTGGACTCAACCTTTCCATGTTAGTATGAATTAAATCCTATGTACAGGGTGTTTTTTTATATATTGACCCCCTCCTACAGCTTTTATCTTGACAGGTAGAAGAAAGGTGTATATACAAAAGTTGTTGCATGCTTCCAGCTTTTTTTAAATGGGATGCCTTATATTTCATTCTATATTTTTGAAGAGCACAATGCCCCGATTCCAAAAATATATAGTTTGTCTATAGGTATTTGATTGAACAGTCTGTCATATATTCGGCTCCGAAAATTGTAAAAATATTATTCTACTACTGATTTTATTAACCATTCGCAGTCATCTATTCATTAATACGTTGTTCAAGTACGATACTAACCTGACTCACTCAAATGTCAGTTATTCTCATTAGTTCAAAAACTACACGTTTCTGGTGAGTGTCTTATTTGAATAGTTCAATAGTAGAGTGATGAGTAGTAGTAGTGAGTAGATGGCTGCGGAACTCGCTGCGCTCGTCCCGCAGAGGTCCACCCATAAGTTCCGCAATAATTCACTTATTTGTACTTGAACAATAACTTATTATGTAAAATCAAAATTTGTAAGATTAAGATTATTCACTTTTGGTCAATTTGCCTTTCAACAAGAATTAGTAATGTTACTTTACCAAACTAGTAACATAATGTGACAAGTTAGTCAAGTACAAATGAGTGAATTGCTGCGGAACTTATGGGTGGACCTCTGCGGGACGAGCGCAGCGAGTTCCGCAGCCATCTATTCATCAATATGTTGTTTAATTACGATACTAACCTGACTCACTCAAATTTGAGTTATTCTCATTAGTTTAAAAACTACATGTTTCAGGTGAATGTCTCACTTGAACAGTTTAACAGTATATTGCTGAGTAGATGGCTGCGGAACTCGCTGCGCTCGTCCCGCAGAGGTCCACCCATAAGTTTCGCAATAATTCACTGATTTGTACTTGAACAATAACTTATTATGTAGAATCAAAATTTGTAAGATTATGATTATTCACGTTTGGTCAATTTGCCTTTCAACAGGAATTAGTAATGTTACTTTACCAAACTAGTAACATAATGTGACAAGTTATTCAAGTACAAATGAGTGAATTTCTGCGGAACTTATGGGTGGGCCTCTGCGGGACGAGCGCAGCGAGTTCCGCAGCCATTTATTCATCAATATGTTGTTTAATTACGATACTAACCCGACTCACTCAAATGTGAATTATTCTCATTAGTTTATAAACTACATGTTTCAGGTGAGTGTCTTATTTGAATAGTTCAATAGTATATTTGTGAGTAGATGCTTTTCAACAGGAATTAGTAATGTTACTTTACCAAACTAGTAACATAATGTGACAAGTTATTCAAGTACAAATGAGTGAATTGCTCCGGAACTTATGGGTGGACCTCTGCGGGACGAGCGCAGCGAGTTCCGCAGCCATCTATTCATCAATATGTTGTTTAATTACGATACTAACCTGACTCACTCAAATTTGAGTTATTCTCATTAGTTTAAAAACTACATGTTTCAGGTGAATGTCTCACTTGAACAGTTCAACAGTATATTGGTGAGTAGATGGCTGCGGAACTCGCTGCGCTCGTCCTGCAGAGGTCCACCCATAAGTTTCGCAATAATTCACTTATTTGTACTTGAACAATAACTTATCATGTAAAATCAAAATTTGTAAGATTATGATTATTCACTTTTGGTCAATTTGCCTTTCAACAGGAATTAGTAATGTTACTTTACCAAAGTAGTAACATAATGTGAAAAGTTATTCAAGTACAAATGAGTGAATTTCTGCGGAACTTATGAGTGCGCTCGTCCCGCAGCCATTTATTCATTAATATGTTGTTTAATTACGATACTAACCTGACTCACTCAAATGTGAGTTATTCTCATTAGTTTAAAAACTACATGTTCCAGGTGAATGTCTCACTTGAACAGTTCAACAGTATATTGGTGAGTAGATGGCAGAGGTCCACCCATAAGTTCCGCAATTATCCACTTTTTTGTACTTGAAAAATAACTTATTACCTATATAAAGTCAGAGATTGTAAGGTTATCCACTTTTTGTCAATTCGCCTTTCAACAGGAATTAGTAATGTTACTTTACCAAACTAGTAATATATTGTGACAAGTTATTCAAGTACAAACGAGTGGATTGTTGGGTAGTCATTTATTCAATAATACGTTGTTCAAGTACGATACTAACCTGACTCACTCAAATGTCTGTTTTAAGGAGAAACAACAATTTTGTTTCGCTTCCCTATTTCATTTGTGTGAACTTTCCACAAAAGGTTTTGTTGATAGATAACAGATTCCTATCTTTCTGTCCATCTAAGAAAGAATTTTTGTTCATATTTTTGATTCCAATACTGATTTTTTCTTTGTAATACCACAAATAAAACTGATCCAGCTCCTATAGACCAGTGTAGTGATGGAAAAATCTCACCAGAGAACATTTTTTTCTATTTACTCGTCAGTTTCAATTAGTTAATCCCTGCTAATAAATTACTAAATTAGTCAAAATATAACAACGTCATCAGGACTTTTACCTTATGCAAATAAATTGTATATTATTTTTCTTGATGAATAATCCGTACCATAAAATTATATGTATGTTTACCTATACTAAATTTCATCCCAAGTAAAATTTCTATTTACATTCGACAAATATTTAGTTATTTTTTTCTAAAAAAAAAGTGCCTAATTAAAATGAACAAGTGTGTGTGAGTGGTGAGTGGATATTTGACTGTTCGGAATTATTTGTCTGAAGCAAATATGTTAAAATACTGTGAACTTGTTTGCTTAAATTTTAAGCTTATTGCACATTTCTTAGTAATTAAAAATAGATAAGAAAAACAAAATACATTTCTTATTTTCCATTTGTTTTTATAACGGAAAAAAAATCAAAATCAATATTGACAATGTGTGTTAGGTATCAATTGGGAACAGGAAAATACTGACAATAATTTATGAGATATTGCAGATTAAAGGATAATATAGATGATGAAATGGGATTATATTTATGCAACGTTCGTATAACATCCGTTATGGAAATTTGCAAATTTTTATATGAAAAATCCTATAAAAACGTTTCAGATATCATAGATTTATTTTGGAGTTGTAGGAACTCACCAAATCCTTAAAAAAAATACATTTAGATATTCTACATATGTTTATTAAGGGCTCAAATTATGGACTGACTGGTAAACGTCTGGTTGTTACCTAGCAATAGTTACTTTCTATGCTAGATAATAGAAAGTACCTGCTAGGTAATAACCAGACACTTACCAGTTGGTCCATAATTTGGCCCTAAATCATACCCATGGATTGTCACAATGGTTCAGCTGGCTACCCAACATGTGTCCAATTTTTAGGAATACAATTGAGAAACCTAAATCGCACAAAGGTGCAATAAATTGAAAATGTTTTGCTGCTCAATTATATCCAGACAACCTTAAATAAATCAAACGATAATTACCTAAACCATTAACTTACTTATTATGCAATGACGTCAGGACTAATCGACCCAGAAAA